GCTGCCTAGCTCGTCATGATCGCCAACGAATGGAGCGCGACTTGAGAGCGGCCTGGCACCCTAGCGGACTCCTGGACGTAGCTTAATTGGGGCGGCGGCCGCGCGATCGCACCACTGGCAGTGGCGGCCGCGGCGTCCCGAGGCCACGCGAGCCGCGTTAGCTTACGGGAGCAGGCTAATGGCAGCAGAAGGGCAGCCTGTCTAGTGTGTGCTAGAACGTATATATCATTCGTTCTCTACATGGGATACTTTCATATTTCTCTAACTAAGGAAAACGCTACGACAGTATAGATTGATCCTCTCCTGTTGGGAATCAGGGCTACTATGCTAAGCAGCCCCATCTCACTTTCCCTTTTCCCGTCTAGGTCAGGAACACTGCCATTTCCCCTCAAGCGGGAAGTCGACCTACGCGTCTCAGGCGTCTCAGAGACCCAGGCGGAATTTGAGGTAATTATCTTCTGTCCGAGCTTCGTTGTCGCCCCTAGTAGTAGCTGCAAAATTTAATAGGTAGCTCTAATGCGATTCGATCGCGGGCACAGCTCCCGCGAAATCAGCCAACGGACTGGTACAAGTGTTAATGAGGAGCCGCGGCTTAGAGATGAGCGCGGCTGGTATGACACACGTGATCACAACGGGCGGCCCGATGGCGAACTTGGAAGCTTCGAAGAGGACCGTCAAGATCGGAGAGAGCATGTGTTGTCCGATGACTTCAGAGGTTGTTCAAGCAATGGGTACCGCAGACGGTCGCGTGAGCGCAAGCGCCTATTGGAAGCAGGTGATTTTTCAAGCCGACCGGGGATGGACAGACCTTGCGATAGATGGGAACCGCCAGAGACAGCTGCAACGCGAGCACTGTTCTCAACGTCGCCAAATGAAGCGCACTCTTCACGGCGATCAAGATTTGACGCACGGCGTCCTGATCACCATGCTTCTATAACCGGTGCTACATCTACATCGGGTGGGTACAGCGGGTCACCGCCTGCGGCCGACCTGCTCAAGGCGGCAATGCTCAAGGGCCTCGTACCTGTAGTTGCAGACTCCGCCACAAAGGCGCGGCGAGAACTCTTTGTGGGCAATACCCCTCTTGGCTCTGCCCCGAGTCCTTGCGCTATGTTGTAAGCATTATGATCACGACCGCATATGTTGACGTAGGCACGAGCGAGCGCACTCTTTTGGATCATTTAAATGCGGCCATGAAAAC